TATGACAAATTAATGCAGAACACCATGAAATTCCAAAAGGTTCACATACTTTTTATTGCAACTGTATTACTGATGTAATTATGAACCTTTTAAAGAATCCTTTAATTCTCACATGTTCTAATATCTGGATGGAAAAAGAATGGCTCTTGGGCTTCCAGCTTCTCATTTATATCTAAATTTACTTATATTTTAATTCATTGGTTAAGAGGAACCTGGGTGGTAAAATGTCAGAAGCCCAAGCTTAGGAGGCTGAATTGAATTTGAACTGCCTGGAGAAGTAGTTTGGTACTTTGCAGATTTCTTTGTTGCTTCCCTTGACCTGTTTAAGGAAACTAAATTGTAACTTGGATTATAAATTGCAGAATTTTAATTTCTTACACAGGATTTGGATTGTTATGGGACAAAGTTTATATTTATGAAATGTGAGATCTTCCCTCAACATCAGGAATCTATGTGATTTTCTCAAATCAGTTTTCACTCTCCTCAGGTAGCAAGGCTAATGTCAAGCCTGCTGCTAACCAGTGATAGTGCAGGAAAATTAATTTCTTTTCCTCACTTTCTCCCCCTGCAGGTATTGTTGGTGAAGCAGATGAAAATGGTGAAGATTTTTATCTCTGGACATATAAAAAGCTTGAAGTAGGTTATAATGGAAATAGGATTGTGGATGTGAATCTGACAAGTGAAGGGAAAGTTAAACTGGTACCCAACACTAAAATCCAGATGTCTTACTCTGTAAGTAATCTGAATGTATAAATAATAGTGGTCATGATTACACAGCAGCTACGCAGTAGAAATAGCATGTTGGCAGAACCATATTTTGTCCAAGTATGGACCATATATCCTGATGGTGGGCCTTAACCACAGTATAGATCGTAGTATGTTGCATGTTTATTCACCCCAGCCTGAGCTCATAGTGTTATCCAAATCCCAACAGGAAGGATAATCTGAAGTGAACTTTTCTCATCTCCAGCTAGAGAAACCAGAAGCTAGAATGGCTGCAAAATGGAATTGCTCTAATCACAGCGGTTGTTTTCCTAATTTTTTCCATACATATATTTCCATGGACATTGGGAATGTGGTAAAATGGGAACCAAAATAGATGAGGGAGAACCAAAGGCCTTCTACCAAATTGGCTGAATGATCAGGCTACCCTGTTACTTTTTAAAGTGATTTGGATACCAACAAATAGGGCTGCTTTGACTTTCATATAATTCCAGCAATATATATATATAAAAAGATTGTACATATTTACTATTCATTCTGTCTCCTGTATCCTCATCCCACATAACTACCCATTGCCTTCATTATCTGTTTAAATGCCTAAATCCAGAACCTGAAAGAACACTGTTCTTTGATAGGTTAGCTAGAAAAAAGAATTCCATTAAATGTTGCTTCTTCTTCTTAAAGCTGCTGTTGGCAGAAATTCCTTAAGTTCTGTTTATAATAGTCTTGCTGATAGTGATATAACTCCCATACCATTCCTACTTACAATGGGGCAAAAAAGTATTTAGTCAGCCACCAATTGTGCAAGTTCTCCCACTTAAAAAGATGAGAGAGGCCTGTAATTTTC